TTGAGTCGGTTTTTGCCCCGATCCAACATGATCGATTTGATAACAAGTCTCGAAGGAGATTTTACAATTAACAATTAGTGGTGGGCGTGGGTTGAGTTGGGTCGATTTTTGCCTCAACCCAACATGATCGATTTGATCTAAAATCAAACCAATCCAACCCAAGTAAATGTTGAAATCCAACCCAACCCAATCAAGTATCGGTCGGATTGGATTGTGTTGGTCGGGTTGGACAAATTGTAATTTATTACCATATAATCAAACAAAAAGAAGTGCGAACAAAAAACTAAAAAATGTAAAATATATCGAACATTTCATTTAGGCTTTAGCAATACAAAGTATCAGGTGAAAAGAACACAAAAGGCAGGAAACTTGAAAAATGGAGAAGCATACATTAAATTGGAGAAAACAAAAAAGGAAGGTTTATTTTCATTTAGTCAAAATCACTAGATATTCTTTGAGTGGTTGCATACATGGTGCCTTGCATCGCTCTTCAAGTTCCTACTTTGGATCTACAGGCTCATCGTCAGACCTAAATTAACAAAACAAGTTTCCACAACAGACAATGATACTTATTAAATTGATGTCAAACCAAAAAGTAAAACAGATGGTTCTGCTGGTTGCCAATTTTTTTTTTTTCAAATTTAACTTCGTACTTATTATTTATCTCAAATCTTTAATAGTTTTAGGCAATAACAAGCAAATTATGCTTCACAAACTTATTTGAAATGTGAGAAATCGATTTATTTAGAAGTTAGATCAAGCCTCTATATAAAAGCTTAAAATTTATTTTTTCTTCAACATTTATGTTCATAGTTCATATAACCATTCTACAAGATACTTTTGTAAACCAGTACAATACTTAATTATCCTAAGAGATAGAGATTACGAAAATACCCAATCGAAATCTTGAGTTATACATTGTGATTTGAGAAATTCGATATAAAAATTTGTCTATTAGAAATTATAATGGGATTCTTGTTTATGAAACTCTAAATCTTAAAAATAGGGATTTTACGTTTAGGCAATTTATTTCTCTTTCCCTTTTTTTTTTAAAAAAAAAAAGACGGGTTGGGTAGGTTTTTATGAGTTAACCCACAGCCCAACCCACCTACACAATCAAAGAACTGAACCCACTTAAAAACAACAAAGGGCAGTTTGAACGGGTTCGGTCTGGTTTTGCCCACCTCTACTAACAATGGCTGGCTTTGAGAAGAGAACAACCGGCCAAGGTTGAAGAAAAACACTCACGCGTACGGAAGCCGAGAAAAAAATTGTGGAATTAATTTCGTCGATTTTCAGTGATGTCCTTCCTTTTTTGTGTTTAATTTCAATAGTATGTTAGGCTAATTCTTCTCATGTATTGGATAAAGATGAAATATTTTATTATTTATTTTTAATTCAAAACAAGTAGATTAATTAAATTCTTGCAATTCTTGATTAATCTTCATGCTTACTTTTATTATTTGACTACTTGATCACCAATTGAATATATAATTGCTTGTTGTAGTATTGAGAGGTTCACAATAAATTTAGACACTGCTTGATTAACACGGGTGCAATAAATAGTAGTAATAATGTTTATCATGCAGGACCTTGCTACATGTACACCAAATTTTACATAATAGGTTACATAATGTCATATGTCATTCTATCATTTGACAATTTTAAAAACGGTCAACTTTTTCATCCAAATTTTTTCCTCTATTTTATGTAATCCCTTATGTACAATTTTTATGTACAAGTAACATAATATTTATCATGTATACAATCTTTAAGATAATTATGAAATTGAATGTGCTCTATTCA